ATATATATATATATATATATATCAGAAGAAACTAAATGACTTTAAAAATCTAGACATAAAATACGTTTACAAAAATAATAGAAAAAAAACTATTTATGAACTAGAATGGTGACCGAGGAGCTTTAAGTGGTTATAATTTACCTGTGCCAAATGCCAGGAGGAGGACAGGTTACTGATGCTTTCCAAAGTGGCGATCGCCTCCTCTGTTCTGCCTTCTATATCCAGGAGAACAGCATATGCTATTTTGGCTTCCTCTTCCAAACCTTTCACAGCAGAAATCTGAAAAGACACAAAAACAATTAAAAAAGGCAAACATGGCAACTTAAAAATGCCATTAAAAAAAAAAAGTATAATAACCTGAATATCCTTGGAGCGAAAGTGTAAGAAGAGAGGGTCAAGGGGCTCTGGTACACTCCTTCTGTTTTTAATTATTTCCAACTGAGGCAAAACGACTCTCCAGTAGTGAACACTGCGGCCGATGTACTCCTTCTGGTCATAATACGAGTTCATTCCATCTCCCTGTGTTGTTAAACATGTTCATACAGATGTCATAAAGAAGGCAATTCTGTCCATATGGCTTATGACACTTGTCTGAAACAAATCACTTCCTCAGTTACAAATCCCATCATAAACAGGAAAGACATTGCCAAGGAAGCGGCACTTGTGGCCGTTTAGACATTTTGCATTTAATCCAGCTAAGCAGCTGCAGACTAAGCAACAGAAAGAAGCAGGTGTGACGACAGGAGGGTCTGCAGAGCTTTTGGCAGTGTTCCCTACATGCTGTTCAGTTGGCTGTGCAGCATGTCAGAGTGTAAATGACTGCCAGTTTCATAAAAGACGCGAACAAGCCAGAGAAGTGATTAATGTTTCAAATGAACAAAGTCCATCTTCATAAAATATGCTTATAAATTGGCTCATTGAGAAATATGCTGCTCTGTCTTTATAATGTTGCAGAAAAAAATAAATTAAACTGTTTTCAGAAACTGTAGTCAGATCCAGAGCGTCAGAGCTTTTAGCTGACAAAACTATGTTTACCATTTCTGGAAACATGCAAAGCTTCAGTAATGGTGCGTTTACCGTCTGGCTGAGAGTCCGAGCCCAGTGGATGGCCAGCGCTGGTTGTAGCCCGTGTTTCTCTCCAGCCCTCAGAGTGCTCAGTCCATGCTGCACAATCATCCGCAGCTTGGCCGACGTTCCGGGACTGAAAGAGAAAAAACACAAAAACCTACAATTATTGAGTCTATATTAATTACAGAAATAAATAAATAAAAGGTCATAAAAATATACATTTTACTAGTCTTTTGGGGGTAATTTTTAAACTATATTTCAAACACAAATTGAAGACTTTCAATAAATTAGGCTCCTATTTTCTATAAACTGGTTCAAATGTTAAGAACCCACATTAAAACGTCATCACGCACCGACTGATATTCAAAAACTGCTACAAATGAAGTGTGTGCATTTTATTTTGATACTAGGATCTATAAAGCTTAGTAAGAAGAATAAATATATACCAGTAAGTGTTTGTATAATCCAAATGCACATATTGTTCACAGTCACGATTTGTGAGACTCACACTGCTCGTTTGTGGATCAGGCTGTAGATGGCGTCCCACCACTCCCTCTGCCTGTCAGTGGTCAGGAGGCGGAGGAGAGGAAGCGGGAGGCAGCGAGGCTCAAAGAGCTGCTGCTGCTGTGGACTCATCTCGCTGCTGATTTTCGCCGTGTCCTGGAGCTGACAGTGGCTGCAGAACACCACACCATACAAAAACACCTGAACAGAGGAAACAACAACAGTTTAACAAAAAGGAGACAGTAAAATGCCACCAATCAAGTGAAAACACTAGCGTTAAACTGTTCAGACATTTAATAAATTCTGAAATCCATGCAAAAACTGTTAAGTTAACCATACATGGAAAAGCTCAACATATTTGTAAAATAAACCTATTTATAAAACTTTAAAAAAAAGGGCAAATTATTAACCGAGCTCTTTCTCCCCATTTGTTGTAAATTAAGGATCTGCAAACGAATTCTCATGAAGACGGTTTACCTCCAGATCCAGCAGGCAGATTGACTCAGGTGAATTGGTGTCTAGCTTTGATGTCTCCAGGGTAAGTCTTGGAAAAAGCTGCTGCAACCAGTCCCTCATAGGTGGCCTTTGGCCCAGAAGAGTCCACTGCAGTCCCAACCAGCTCAGATGTTGCAGTTCACCGCTGTGCAACAAGATAGAGCCTACCAAAAATGCATCAACAGGAATATTGTAATAGAAAGCCGTTACATTTTATCATCTGTACTTTAGGCAATCAGTCATTTTACCTGTGTCCCATCTGGCCAGTTTGGAGAGCTCTGGAACTTCAGCACAGATGGAGCGAATGTCATCATTGGCTATAAAAGAGGATCCAGGGGAGGCCTGTGAACCCCAGAGGAGTTCAAACACAGACTCCTGACCACCACGATTCCCAAACACCTCCACCACCTACACAAGATAAAAGAAAAACAAACTGTTTTCACAGATATTATTTTTTCATTCAACCTTTATTTAGATAGGTTAATCCCACTGAGCCTCGCAGACTCATTTACAAGAGAGACCTGAAATGTAATGATTTAATGTGTGCATTTTCATTCTAATGTAGTAATGATGCAAAAATATCACGTTAAGATAACAGTTGAGAAAATAGTGAAACACTACTGGATGCAGTAAAATCATTATTTTACCGTCTGTTCAATAACATCAAAATAAATTTAATGCAGACTAAAAAATAACGTATCCCTTAACCTTTAACACAAGGACTGACCTCTTTGATCAAAATGGACACATCAGAGCTCAGATTGAACAACATGTGTCCAGCCTGACTCTGTCGGTCATTTGCCAGCAGTTCCAGAAGCTGTGGGGCTGACGAGTCTCTTTTGGTCACTTTGGACTTTGGTCTGGGGACCTGGTGGAAAGAAAAAACAAAAAATACATTGGACTTTCTTCCTCAAAGTAGGTCAATAAAAAGTAAGAAAAAAAACTTGTTGAAGAGTGTACAAGCTTTGTAGGAGAGAAAACTTTAGCTTTTTTTATTTATTAGAAAACATCAAAATGCCACAATATTGTATGGTCAACACAAAGAAAATTGAAGCAATAATATTAATTGTACATTTGACAATCTTATAATCAGTCTTCTTATGGGTATTTTTAAATTTAATGATTATTCTTGTAATGCATGAGTCCAAATTTCATCCAATCAGAAAAGCAAACCAGTCCACAACTAGATACCTCATATGCAATTCATGGTATGTTTGCTTCCATCTTTGTTTTCATCACATGCAGAAAAAAGCATTTTAGGTATTCAAGTGTAAAGGGTTTACATGGATTCCTCCAAACAGTTCAAAACTATGCATCAATAACGTGAGAAAACTGTGCATGAAGTACCTGGTACGCCAGCAGGTAGCACAGCGCAGTATGGTCACTGACAGCTCTCCAGGTCTGTTGCCGATCGTGAGCCAGTTTCAACAACAGCGTGCCAGCATGCAGGTAGAGGTGACCTTTCATCTCCATGAAAACTTCGAAAAGATCATCATTGTGGCGGTTGGCGACGCTGCTCAGCATCTGCATCGCTTGATCAAACCTGAACATAGTTTTAGACGTTTAGGATGGAGCTTAAAAAATATGTGGTTTCAGTGATAACATTAATTTAGGGGTTACAAAATGTAATCAGAAGTTTTAAATTGTACTTTATTTTCAAAGTGTTATTTGAATTTCATCTTTTCTGATAATGGAAAAATACAAAGACCTACCCTCGTAAACTAATATCATTAACACAATCCCTACATGATCTCATCAAGTTTTTACAAAACGCTGAAAACAAAAACAAGCCTGCAGCACCTGATAACAATGGATTAGTTGTGAGCAGAACTCTGATAAGGATACAAGGGTATTAAAAACTAAAAACCTAGAAATAAAGTACACTAGATGTGATTTAATGAATGCAGCTCTTTTTAAAGTCAACAGCAGTGAATCTGAAGTACCCTCTGAATGCATCTAGGCTTGACTGCACGCTGCTGTCAGACAGAGTGATTCTCAGCAGGCTGCAGTGTGTCAACAACACTTCTCTTTGGAGACGTCGACACATCTTCTCATTAGCAGAAACGCTGGGATGAGACAGATACTCCTGAAACAAAGATCATCAACTCTTCAGACTTTTCTTTTCAAATTAAAAAGCTTGTTTGAAAAATGGCTAAAACAGTGAAACAATTCAAGAAGCATTAAAAAAAAAATGAAATAAATGAACAGATTGCTGCCATAAAAATTAAAAAAGTACATTCTGACCTGCAGCGTGTGCAACACCACGGTGTACCAGTGCAGACTGTTGCGCAGCAGGCCTCTCTTCTCAGCAGCCAGACAATGTTTAACAGCCTCATCGAGCCGACCGTCCTGACAGAACAGCTGAACCAACTTCACGTTCACATGAGCATCAGCTGGCCGTGCCGCCAGCTCAGCTTGAAGGAGGTCGAACAACTGGTTCCAGCCCTGCTGGCCCTGACGACTCAACAGACGCTCCTGAATCAAGACAAGTGGACTCAGTGTGGCACACACTTTTTTATTGATAATCACAGCTGGCTGTGAACTAGGCAGCTGCTGGTAATGTACATAGCAGAACCAAAAACTGACAAGAAGGGTACAAAGAGAAGTTTAATTACATATAAAGGGGGAAAAAAACAACTTACCTTGAGGTTGAAGACTGATGGGTGTCCAGGCATGAGCTTTGCTGCTTTCTCCACCCAAAACTCTGCTCTGCTGTCACTTTCTTTCTTATCAACAAGTAACTCGGCTACCTTCAACACCAGGTCCTTCTGCACTGGGTTCAAGTCCACTGAGCGCTGTGTGAACAAGAAATATTAAAACATCCACAAACAACTTCCATACACCAAGCAAATTATGGCATTTGTTATAGTATACACATGTGTAAGTGTGTAAATTCACAGCTGGTGAAGTTAATGTTCCCAAGACATCTGATCTATTTTATGCATCTAAAATAGACTTTTCATGATTTCTTGCAGTAATTTCTAAAAGCTGCCTCTTAATACTACATAAACTCCAAAAAGTGTCTATTTGGGGTTTCAGATTAATTAATTCCGAGCTGACAAGTATCATGAATTAACAAATATTGGTAGAAACATTTCCTGTTCTGACAAAATCCTACAATGTGTTACTCAGAATATATTGGACATTAATACAAATAATAATATACAATACTTGATACAAACTAGCATCCTGAGCAATGGAAATGGATGAATGCTTAACAGATTCATACTGTTTATTTTCTTCCAATCGATATATTCTCTCTACCTTGTAGCATCCGATTGCTTTGTTGATGTCTCCCTCTCTCTCATAGAGCTGCCCAAGGAATTTGTGTGCTTTGGGATCCCTTTCCTGCACCTTGAGATACTCTGACACATGCCTAGAATGAGTGTGAAACATGCCACCAAACAGTCAGCGCAATATTGAAGGAAGCAGCAGAAGCACAGCTGATCAAAAACAGAGAAGCTCACGTGCTTACCTTTTTGCAAGTTCATATTCTTTTGCTTCAAAGTACAACTTAGCAAATAAAAACCCTTTGACTGGCTTCTGAGGAAAGAAAAGCATTATCAGGTGAGATCCCAAATAGAGAACACATTGTTTAATAATGCACTGTACAGTTCCTAATTATATTTTAGCAGTTTTAGCAACATATTATGCAGACCTCCACAGCAATAGACTGTCTTCTGGCAAGGCTGTTAGAGGAATAAGAAGCTACTTGTTGCTTTCTTATAAAACGTGTAGCATTTTTCCAAATGCACATTTTCACTATTTTCATAGGTAAATCCACATGCTGCTTATTTACATTAATTAGTAACATAACACACGCGTTTCTCGCATTTTAAAGTTTTATTTTTTATTTTCAGTGTGATAAAATAACCATATTCTCGAGATATTACAAAAACTACAGTGCGTACGACACCGGCTTATGTTTAGTGTTGTGGATACTAACACGATACAGGAAATACAGAGAAAACTAACTTTTTTTATTCATAAAATTAATAAACGCAGTAGAAGATGATTACAGTTGACTGTGGGGGCTAAAACAGGATAAAGTTGCTTCACCGAACCGCGCATTTAAAATCATCAGCAGCCGCCGGGTAAGCTAATGTGTGCGCGCGCCGCTAGCAGCCGGGTGTAGCTAACATAGCATTGGAAGCTTTCTTATCAAACATAAGTCAGTATTTTAAGCAAACGAATTGTTCGCCATTTGTTGAAGACTACATCTAGCGTGTGGTTAAAATTCGACCAACTCTAGACTTTACACCGACTATATGTCACATGTTAATCTGCTATAAGTCATGCTAACATGATTAGCCGCTTACCTCTTTGAGTGAAGGAGAGGAATTCTGTACAGATGAAACGTAGCGGTCCACTTCCGCCTTGCTCCGCCGCATGACTACAATTATCAGGTACTTCTAAAACGAGCTTGATATACTCCAGAAGACGACAGACTTTACCAAATCTATTAAACACTAAGGTTATTTTAGCTCGTCAGTCATGTTAACTCCCCATGCGTTGTGTCGTTACCGTCAAACCGGAGTGGGTCACGTGGGTCTTACTTATCCAATCAGAATTAAGAGTTTAACGACGCACGCTGACGCACTGTTTTTTAAAAAAGATGGGTGGGCTCAGAAACGTCACAGCAAAAATACCACAAATGTTCAAAACACTATAATACTGTATTAGTACACTTTTTAATTTTTTTTATTTAATTCCAAAATAAGATCAAGCTATACACATGCGCATTCTCCAATATGAGAAATAACATGATCATAATGGATCATAATGGCTTTAAATGTATAAACATTAAGAGACATGCAAGATTTTCTTGAAGCCTCTGGAAACACAGGAACAAGTGCAGCATAACTGCAGATTTTATGGAAGGCAATGTGTAAAATATTGCATTTATTTGCCTTCCGGTATTTGGCTTTGTTTCTGCGATATGGACCAATTTCCCTATGTAAAGAATTATTTTCCAACTTGTCTGAGCTTAAACACATAATTACTATTTTTCCAAAACATAGTGACACTATGATAGTGTGCTGCATAAAGTACAACCGTTAGCAATGCCTTTGCATGATAATCAGCATATAAGTAACAGCTTTGTACCCTAAACTTTCAAGGTTCACTATTGTCATTCACATCACATGTGGTGCATGAGGTGGAATGAAATTGTGTACTTAAGGTCCCAGTTACACCCAAAAATAGCAAAAAATATAAACTATATATATATATATATATGAAAGAGTACACAAGGATTTAAGACACAGTATACTCTAACTAATTATATATGGTGTGTTTCTACTTTCAAAGAATACAAAAACACTGCACAGCTAATTTTGAAATACTTTATTTAAATAAGCTAACAGAAAAACAAACAAAAAAAGCTTTCAGTTCAAGTTCTGAACATGCACTTTGATGTATTATGATGAAAATAAAATACATTCACAAACATTGCCAAGAGTTAAAAAAACAGTATTGGAAGAGTTTATTTGTAAATTGCAAACACTATAGTGTTGTTGAAGCTTGTACAAGAGAAATGTGGTTTTAGTGCTGAAATGCAGTATGAAAACAAATGTTTTGCGTTTATAAAATTGTGGAATGTGCTTTGCTAAAGCAATAAAATAAGCTTTGCATGATAAAATACAGTGCACACAAATTGCTTGGACGTAAGAACATTTGGCTTCTTTTCCTACCACTTGCACTTCATTAAGAGGATCACCTTTTTTGGATTACTAACAACTAATGTTCTAACAGCTGACACCACTCACACTCAGTCTCTGTAACACACACATATAGCAACAAGTCAGTGTGAAGCTTATTGAGTTTATACTGAACTGCACTGGACCATAATTATTATGGATGCACAATATTGAATTTTTGGCTGATATGCCAATATGTTAAAATTTATTTGGCCGATAACCGATACCAATACTGATATTTTTCTCCCTAGACCTACTTACAGAAACTACATAGCTTTCTGTGCTGTGGAATTAAAATACTACATTATTCTGCATGGCCTTTGCCAATTTGACCTGCCACTATATATATATATATATATATATATATATATATATATATATATATATCACCATGCCGATAATAATGTGCATCCCTAATATTTATGCTTTTCTGTCTCTTTTATGAACTCAGTGTGAATAAGCACAGTTAAAAAATGTCAAACTTGGATAACGTTAAAGGAAATACAAGTTCTGGCAAATACTGTAAGGAGGCACTAAGACTGCTGCCAGAGATGGCTGAGTTCATTACTGCTGCAATTTTACAGACCTTAACAAAACTATTTTTCACCATTAAAAAAAACAAAACATTAATTTTACATATAATGATAAATATGGGGAAACAAGCATTCTTGAGTACATACACATTTAATACAACTTATCTTATACACTTTTTTTTTTGTACTAGAGAAACATAGCAGTAACATCATTCAAACAGAGGAGAGGTTTCTCCTGTTGGCAAACCATTGAACATGTCAAAATATCTTTAAAGTCATATTTCCAAATGTCTCCTAAAGTTTGTTTTTAAGTACAGGACCACTCTCACAGGTACTATACTGTACTGTATGTATTTATTTAGCAGTGAAATAAGCAAGTATATATAAAAACATAAACAGTGCAGCTTTCAGGCAATAAGGCACTAACAGGTGAAGCAAAATGACCAGCCAACAATCTGACTGTTGGTTTCAGGAACCAAAGATCCAGATTCAGCACTTTCTAGGTGTGGATACAAGAGTTACAAGTGGCGTGCTCCATTACAGTAACCAATTAACTGTAGTATGAAATGGCTATTTCTGTCTTGGGTGATTCTTGAAGGTGGACAGAACTGGCTGCCTCATTGTTTCCTCTCCTCCATCGACACAGTTGTGTGTTCACTTCCTCGCAGCAGCTTCGGACAGCTTCTTCAGCCTCTTCTTCAGCTCCAAGGGGAACTTCTCATAGCACTTCTTACACACCGGCTTCATGTCAAACTCCACAAACTTGTTCCTGAGGTGGAAAGAAAATCTCAGTTGTCAATTAAGCCATCTGGTGGTATAAGAAAAGGAACTGTTGTTGCTTTATGGATGCAATTTATTACAATCAATCATACCGTTTGTAGTTTTATAAGCCTGCCTATATCTACTGCAGCATTTATGTAAGATAGAAGACTTTAGTCACAACAATCATACAGCGAGGAAGCATTTTTAGTTATTGTGTGAATGCTGGTTCCTGTTTTTTCTCTACATTTTTTAATCTAACTACTTCTAAATACATTGTGCTTGTCATGCATTTCTGACCTTTTTTGTTACTTATACATGAGTATGTTTAATACTACTGAGGGATTTACTACGCTTTCACGAATGAAAGTTTCACAGGACCAGTCGAGCAACTACCTCGACTAATCACCGCTCTAACCAACAAAAGTTGTCTAGAGCAGTGGTTCTCAAACTGAGGTCCACGGACCCCTGGGGGTTCATGAGCCGCTGCTTGTGGGGGGCTGCAAAAAAAAACAAAAACTTTTTTTTTTACAAGCACGTAGATGTTTAACAACCCTTTAAAATACAGCAAAATGCAGGAAATCACATGCACTTTAATCAAAATTTTCTGGGGGAGGACCCCCAAACCCTCTCCCTTCCCCCCATCTGCTATTTGCATTCCGGCATTGATCCATTTACAAATTAAGCCCTGTTACCTGGTATGACTACAGCTGTTATGATTCTGTTTTATGTAAAGAGTTTTCTGTAATAATTTGAAGAAGTGGCGATACATTTATGTTCGTTATGTGAATAAGTAAAGGTTTAAAGTGGTTTTTGATTCTGTTAATTTTATCAAAACTGTCATTTTTTGGAAGTGGAAATTAAAAATGTTGTTAATTAAATGCGTCTCAAATGAAAAATACCCCATGTTTAAAAGTATAAAAATTGTATTAATACTATTAAAGAACAGGTCTCAAGTATTTATGCTACACAAATATTTCCATTGCATTAAAGAAACAAATTATTTAATAAACATGAGGATTATGAGGGGGTCCCTGAAACTTTTTCTCCCCTGTAAGGGGATCCCTGAACCCAAACAGTTTGAGAACCCCTGGTGTACACTAAATTAAATGAAATTTAAAAAAAAAAACATGTTTTGACATTTCCTATCAAAGCATGTATACAGTACAAGGACTGGGCCACGTGTCATACCCGGTGGAAATGTTGGATTTGCTCAGCTGAGCTGCCGGATGTGATTACAGCTTTCCTCCTTAAACCAGACGAAGTGGGTGACCAAAGAAACAAAGCCTTCCCTTTACCGTGCGATTGATCTGATTTTTGTGTTTGCATAGCAAAACCCTGATCTTTGTTTCCTGCTCAGAAGTGGTCAAAAGCTGAGAATGTTTATTGGCCTTTGGTCACTTAAACACGTCGTTAGTTTGTGTTCACCAGCTAAATCTTTGCCCTTTCCCTGACAGACAGCAAGGAAAACAAAATCTGTTATAAAAACAAAAAGAGGCAACAAGGAAGCTGGAAACTGACCAAATGGAAGACAGCTGAAGTGAGGAGGAAAGAGGAAAAGAGAAGATCACAGACACATGGGAATCAGCGGTTTCTTCTTCTTCTCTTTTGAATCGCGTTCGCGCTTCGCCAGCCGGCGTTTCATATCATCAGGGAGGCGTTCATAGCAGTGTTTACACACCGGCTTCAGATCCACCTCCACAAACTTATCTCTGATAGAGCAGAGAGATGGAGAGGGGTGGGAAAGAGAGGGGGGAAATGACAGGAGGACGAGAAAGCAGTGGAGGAAAAAAAACAAGCGTTGTATAATTTAAACAGAGGCAATAAAAATGGAGAAGTGGGAGGAAAAAAAAAACACACAGAGACAAAAGAATATGAGAAAAGTGAGAAATGAAGAAAAACAGCAGCAAAAAGTCTCAAATGCAAGGCAGATGTGAAAGAGATGCAAGATAAAGCAGACAACATAACCTGGGATGTATGGCAGGAATTTCAAAGTATATACAGTAGTCCATCGTTTATCACTGGGGATCCATACCCTGAAGACCCGTGATAAGTGACAGTAGTACAAGTAGTAAGTAGTAGTTTATTTTAGTGCATATATATATATATATATATATATATATATACTTATATATATATATATATCTATATATATATATATATATGTAGGCGTTTTAAATGCTTCCCACACTCATGCAATATTCTAAACAATGTTTCTAAACTCTAAATGCTTTAAAAGAGCACAGCATGTCATGAACTCAGCTTCCTTCCTCTGCTGCTCTCAGCCACCTGCAAGCGCTCTTGGCCACGCCCACTTCTACACTGCACGGAGATCAGCTGAGATCAACTGCAGCAGGAAGTTTATCCTGCAGCATGGGCTGCACAGAGGTGCAGCAGGTGCTAAATAATTTAAAACAATTTATTTTGAATAAAAATTCCATGCCGATCGTGCGGCTCTCCCATCAATCAGCCAGTTGTGTGTCATGTCCAATCTTATTTTGAAAAATTGCGATAGAACGAGTCCGCGATAAAAGAACTGCGAAGTGGCAAGGGACTACTGTATATACTTAATCCTTAATGCTTTTAAAGTAAACTACTTTGACTATGACAGAGGTGTGTTTTCTTGTGTGTGTGGTGTATTGAAATGTAAAAAAAAAATCACTGCTCATACCTAGCTACTACACTTCAACCAGTAAAAGTGGAAGGGGCCAGAAGTCACAGCAACTGGGTTTTTTTTCTGGATTATATGTACAAATGTCCAAAAACGTTTAAAATATCAAGCATTAGATCTGGGTGTCTCTGTAACTTTGGATCCCAACATGCTGCCACTTACTTGAGCGTGAGCTTGGTGTTACAGGTGGAGCAGGCAAAGCAGTTGACACACCAGGCCTTGTTAAGAGCAGACACCACTGAAAACAAAACAGAGGGGAATAATCACAAAAACAGCTTTGCAGATTTAATTACATTTTTAATTGTAAAGTCTTGAAATATCAACGTAGATTTCAAAATAAGTGGGGCTTTTTTATTTAAAAATGAGCGTCCTCACCGTCTCCTTCAATAACACGATTGCAGTGGTAGCAAACATCTCCGAACAGCTGAGTGAGAAGACAGGAAGAGAAACAAGATTAGACACAGAGCAACACTTTTTATTTTCCCTTCAGCTTTTATCATGTCTCACACAACATGCTGTTTCCAGACTCTTTGGGGACAAACACGAGCTGCTAAAACAACCTAAATACAGCTGGAATCAAAGGATTTAATATAAATGATGCTATTTGCTGTTTCATATCTTCACTAATTATACAATTTATATAAATTAATGAGAATAAATGTAAACAGTTTAGAAAATATTGGGACTGCTTGGGACTATTATATCCCAATTACCCATATACATTAGTATGATGTCTGTTGCTCCAAATCCTCCCTCCCCATGAGTGAGTTACCTGGTTGTAATGCGTTTCGCAGTAGGCCAGGCCCTTGCGCTCGTAGTGGCGGTGTCCCAGGAAGGGTTTCTCACATTTAGCACACACAAAATGCTGCAAGCAAACCCAAAGCCAAGCACACACACATGGTTAGAACAAGTCAGTAGATCAACACACTCAGACGGTGTTATGGTCGTTATCAGGCCGGAGCAAAACCAGACCAGTTCAACCCAGGATGTCCTGCTGCTGCGTCCATACAGAGAGAGGAGAGTGTGGACAGAAACGTGACCATTAGGATTTAAATGGTTTGGCCCAAAAAAAAAAAAAAAGTTATTGTATTGTCTGTATATGAATGCATAATACTGAGAAATGTTGAGATAATGTGGACTATTTAAAGTGCCGTAGACATTTATGAAGGGAAAATCCTAGTAGCTATTTTTAAACGTTTTTCTTTTTTTATAAATATATATTTTTTAATAAAACAAACTGAAAACAACATTCTTCATTTTTAAATCATAAAAGTTTTCAGGGCTTGAAGAATTGATGGTAAATAATAAACAATGCTGTATGAAAGTAGCTTTAATGTGAGACATTTTATGTAATACTTAAAAATCTAAATGTTATGATTAGATGATGGAAATTTTGTTCCAGACATGTTCTGACTTCCCATCAATAATCTAATCCTCAAACTTTATAATACAAAGACAAACTGGTAAGATTAGCACAAACTACAGCAATCCCTGTATGGAGGCCAGTGGGTGGTAGTCAGGGAGGGCGACAAGCAGCACTCGACTCGTTTTAATCTCCTCACCATATCAAAGTGTCTTTCACAATAAGCGTGACCACCTCGCTCGTAAAACGGGTGGCCCTGAAAGGGACGCTCGCACACAGTGCACACGTGGTGCTACGAGTGGAGGAGGTAAAGCAGAAAAACAGACTTTAAATGTGAAAATCTTACAAGAACACGAAAAAAAAGAAAATAATGGGAAAGGAAGCTAATGGAGGAACGATAAAGGGCTCTGAACTTGAGATGAAGCCAGTAAACGTACAAGTCACAAAGAGTGTGGCTCTTTTTAAAGGGAAAAAATGTAAACAATGAAATGCACGAGAAAGTAAACAACACCCCAAAAATATATGCAATCCATCAAAGAGCGTTTTTAAGTCTTAACTGCATCCATCCTGTGTATGTAGACAAAGTTGAAACAGTGAAGCATCAAATACATTTTCAATCCATTATTTAAGATGGATATGAATCCAGGCACAACATAACAGCAGATATTCAGCTTAAAAAAAAAAAAAATCACACCTCGACGTGCCACTGCTTGCCCATAGCGTTGACCACGCGGCCCTCGATAGGTCGCCTACACGCCCCGCAAATGGGGACGCCCATCTTGTCGTGGCAGGGTAGACAGTAGAGCTCCCCCTTCAGCTCCCTGGCATCAGCTGTCAGCTCCTTTCTGCAGGGATCCAGATGTAAGTTAGCACTGGTATCTCTATAACCAGCTGTTTAACTATAGTTAAACATAAGTAAGTAAGAAGGTAAACTTTATTCATATAGCGATTTTCATATTTTTACAGAAATACAAAATACAAGCTTAAATAAAACAAAAACGATAACAACAGCTGAGTAATAAAAACAGTAAGAACAGCTGATTAAAAAAAAAGTATCATTTTATTTATTTTTATTTATGGATGTTGAACATGTTTGATAAAAAAAATTACCAGTATATTTATGGACAAAAAAGTAATTGAAAACTATAATAACATATTTATGAGATTATTTTCTAATAGTATTTGTAGGCAAACATCTCAAATTTTGGGCTGCTGTTGTTACGCCGTATTGTTTCACATTATTAGTGTTTGGTGTATATCTTAGATCTTTAAGCGTACCGTTTGGTGTTTGTTTAGCATATATCTTAGATCCTTATATACCGTTCCTTTTTATACTTTGTATTTTGCTATTCTTGGGTGTAACTGGGACCATGTGTACATAATTTCTTTCCACCTCATGCACCTGAAACCACAATAAAAAACCACAATAAAGTTGACAAACAAATTTGGGCTCATATCTACAATGACCTAATTTGTCCACAAGAGGGCGCTTTTACTCTTTGGGTTCATCGTTTTAAGGCAGAACAAAAACAGCTTTCTATAAAACCACATCTGATGTTGTACGAACTAGTTTCATTATAAAAAAATAAGATGAATACTAAGACTAAAACCCAATATCGTTCAGCCAGTGAAAATAAAAAGTATTTTAATGTAAAAATTTTGACTGTGAAACAATTCAACTTTTCTTTGTAATGATTTTCAGTAAGTCTGAAGCCGACGTGCGTCCCGGCTCATTATCGATATATTATTTGCACTCAGCTGTCTCGCTTGTTCTGTGTTTCCACTTATTGCTGATCAGGCATGTGCATGTGTTTACCCGCAGTTGTTGCAGTTGAAGTGATCGGGGTGATAGGGATCATTCTTGAACAGCAGAGGTCGTTCCTCAATGATGGCATGACACTTCTGGCAGATGTACTTCCCGAGCCCTCGAGCTTTTTCTCTGTTGTGACACGGACGACACAAGTGCCTGATAGGAGAAATAGAAGCAGAGGATTAAAAAAATATATATTATGATTAAAAAAACTTGATCCCTTGTATAAAATGTTGGATGCGATGCTTCTAACCGTCCAGCGTTTTTAACAAATCCAACATCTGCAAGCACGGCCTGGCAGATATCGCAGCAGAAACAATCCGGATGCCAGCTGTTGTTCATCGCCTTGATCACGCGTCCAATAATGAACTCACCTGAGAGACACAGCAGTTTGATCATAAGTGTGCACTAAGAGACTTCTGCTTCCATCCTTATAAGTTGTCAAGAAAACTGGATGTACTCACCACACTGGTGGCAACAAGGAGCGAACAGCATCTGGAAGTCATGTTCACAGTACTTCCTGCCTTCAAACTGTCAAAACAACAGAAAACATATGTAATATGTATGTAAATATGTACTAGATATTGAATATGTATACTAAGGACATGAAAAAGTTTTTTTTGTGGCTTTCAACTTTTTTCTGCTAGTTTCAGCTTTTTCTGCTATTTCAGCTACTTTTTATGTTTTATGCTAATTTTAGCTTTTCAGCTAATTTCACATTATTTTAGCTCATTTCAACTTGTTCCGCTTTCTTATAGAAGTTTTAGCTTCTTTCTGCTTTTTCAGCTACTTTTCAGGGTTTTTTTTGTGCTAATTTCAGCTTTTTTAATAGCTAATATACATCATTTTTTTAGCTCATTTCTGCTTATTTAAACCTAATTCAGCAAATATGTGTTCTTTCCGCTTTCTTCTGCTAACTTAGACTCGTTCATCCATTTCAGCTACATTTCAGCAAGTTTTCGCTCATTTCAGCTGTTTTTCAGCAATAAGCATTCACACTGCATTTTCACAGGAAATGCAATTGCCCTAGTTTACTTTGTGTTGATAAAGTGCAAATAATAAAATATATGGAAAAAAACTGAAGCATCTTCTATGACATCATCATCTGACTTATGGAGCTTCAGTCCATCCCTGTGTAACTCACTGTTATGGCTGTTTGAAGCAAAGTAAAAGGGATCAAATCTGTCTCGAAGCTACTTTAAAAAAACATTAATGTTTGAACATAATGGAGATCTGTCACATTTAATCAAGAGTTGGTTATAATCTTGGCCAACCTTTGTCATTTTCACTCATTTTATTCAAAGAACAGCAAGCATGAGCACAACGCTGGATGTACTTATTTTATTTCCACCAGCGTTATAAACAGGACAGGAGCTGTAAGAACTACACTGAAAATCTTTACCTTTTTGTAATCTTTACATGGTTTTACACACACGTCCCTATAGGACGGCAATTATATATATATATTTTTTAGAACAGGATTTATAAAGAAGTAGCAATGTTTAAAAAACAGCATCTTTTGGTCAACAAAACAAATGCAAAAGTGGAGCTTTCTTTCCAAAATATCTTTAAACTCAGTGAAAGCTACTTCTGTTTAATGGTAAATAACTGATCACATTCAGATGACTTTATTTAGAGCAACGTGCACAGCAAGGAAGGAAAACATCCTCATCTATAATGTTTATTGATCAGAACAGTAACAGTGCACTCTCTTTGATAAATATTAAAAGCTTCAGTTCCTCTAGTCTGAGAAACGTTTCGTCTTGCTTCAAGGCCAACGAAGGGACGATTTATTGGAAGAGGACATCTGATGAGTCAATAGTGCATTACTGTTAGTCTTTATTTACCTTAACTGGAAAAAGTGCACAGTGAAAGGATGTGTATTGACACAGATCTCTCTATTACAAGAAAGTCCAACAGTTTGTCTTCGCAGAGCAACTTTTGTGTTAATTGATTCAAATATTCTATTTAGTCGTATATGTTTTATACAAACTGTGTGTGTTGCTATGCAAGTGTATAGAGCAGGTTCAACTAATAATCAAAAAAGTGTTTATTAGAATCTATTGTCCTCAAGGTTTGCTTAAAATCACCACATTATGCATTTTATTGGCATTACTTTATAAAATGAAAACGTGTCACCTCGTAGAAGAGTCCTTCTGGGAACTGCTGGAAGCACTGAGCACAAACGAAGCACTGCTCGTGGTAAAGCTCCCCGTTGCTGTTCACGATCTTCTCTGCCGGGGCGAAGCCGCTCTTACAGCGCTCACACATGGCGCTGGCCAGAGCGTTAGCCATGTTGCTGAGGGGGAAAAACAAACAGGATGAGAGTGTCCTGAAATCATAAAAGTGAAATAAAATAGGTGAATTTGGAAGAGAAACAGTTTGATAACATTAAGGTTTTCTTGAGTCAGTTTAGCTGACAACACTTTTAGTTGATTTAAGCTTCTCTGAGCCTAAAAACCCATACGAGCGCAGGGATTGATTTCATATTTTCCAGATGCGTTGAACTTTATACCTTGGGATCTAAAACAACAACACGGGTCATGTCAGTCCACTGAAATCAGTATTTTCAAACTTGTTATTCCATTTTTCCGCATCGTGATAACAGCTGGTAGATTTTCTCGGTGAAAGGAGGCGGTAAAGAGGGAAAATGTGATGCAAGAGGTTATCGGTACAAAAACAATCTAATTCCCAGGTTTACTTTGGCTCTGGTTATCAGGGTGTGGGGATAAGTGAGGTGTAAAATCTCCGTGTTGTTCATGAAGACTACTTTTAATCTCTCCACATGTTGCGAGTGCATAAACACGATTTATTAGGAATTTAAACAAAAACAGCGAGGGAAGTCAAACGTCTTGAAAGGAAAACTAGAAACACGAGTTTGGAATAATATTAATCTGATCTAATCTTTTCATTAGATGTCTCATTGCAAAACAGAACTGTAATGATACGAACCAGACAAAAATTAGACAAACTTAAAAAAATGCCTAACAAAATGATTTATTCATGCCTCTTTTTAGTCTTAAACTTCACGAGCCACAAACTAATGAACTTTAATTAAAATGTCCAATTCAAAATTGCACTACAAATTGAATGTCGAGTCAAGTATCACAATATCACACGCGGATAAATGCCCTTTTAAAAGGTAGGTGGAACAATGCTGCAGGCAGACGTGTTGGCGTGAAAAACACAAAGAAAAAGGAGAAACGCTCCTGGTTTTCTTTTGTTTCAAAGGTCACAACCCCACCCTGTATCAAGACAACACAAATAACCACACATTATATTTTATTTAAGTTTATGTCATCTCCTAATTCTCACACAGTTAGTTCAAGACAGGGATCAGGAATTTCAAAAACAACCAGTAACCCTTCTTATTTGTTTTACATTTGGGAGTACTATGTACTTAAGCCAGTCATTATTTTTAACAGTAGCGATTTCAGTAAATGTCTTTAATAATTTGTGACAAAAAAAAAAAAAAGTGGTTATGTGGCATTTTACCATACTGAAGCAAGATGTTTCCAGTCCTCACAGAAATATCAAATACATATTTTATTATATGCCCTGTCTGGACTGATATCAAACGGAATAAGAGCCCTGCCCTGCAGATGATTTAAGACAGGAAGTGATACATCCCTCTGGCATTTCCACCATCAAAGTTGCCTTTATCACCAGATAAAGACACGCCAGCACAGTCACAAAACTAGAACAAAATGGGCTTTTTCTTCCTCAATAAATTCAATGTCATTTCCAATTTCCCCTGGCTTTGTTTTTGCAGAGTCCCTTTCATAAGCAGTTTATAACATTTAGATCAGGTTTGGAAATTGCCCCCAGTTGTTCTTCCACACATGTTCAGGGAAATAGAGATGTTTGCTCCTCAAAATACTCCAGAGTGAAAAGAGTCTAACAGACAGGCAGGACGTGATCGTCTCAGTGTTTTGTATCAATATTTATCACCTGCTGCCAAAGGTGAAGGCAGACAGTAAAGCTTTTGCCAATGTTTGTGTGTCTGCCTGAATGAACCTCTGGACTAATTTAATAAAAATTACTCAGCGTAATTATTGGCTATACATCTACAATTGATTAACTGTTGGAGTGGACTTATTTCAAGACAGCCGCCACAAGTCAAATGGCTAAAACTCGGGTAATTGTAGAGATATTCAGCAAAGATGTGGTAGTAGCTGAACATCCCAACACATCTCTAAGAACTACACTTTGAGGAATATGTTTCCTTTAATGTTTGCCGTTACCTGATGGAACCAACCCACCTAGCAAAACATCTCAAATCAAAATGACTACCACAGCTACTGTGTTTGACATCAGCCAATACCAAAATGGCAATAACGGAGGCACAATTAAAAAAATTGAACTAAGATTTGGAGCAATAGAAGCTGAGAATCATTCCAAACATGTACAATAAGCTTTACACATTGCTCAACATCTTTGCTTAAAACTTTGGCATGAGCAGTTAGGGATTAGGTGTCTTGCTCAAGGACACGTGAGCATGGCGGTAAGTTGAACCTGCGACTTTCTGGTCCCAAGTCAGCTGCCCTAACTCTACACGTCTCGACCCCAACTTCAGCGAAACTCTCAAAATAATATTTGGTCGTACATCTACAACTATTTATTTTTGGAGTCGCCCCAGTTCTAGTTGGATGCCACACAGTTCTAGTTGGATGCCACAGCTAATCAACCTTAGTTAACACAAAATGGGCTTTAACTCATTCAATATTAAAGATACTGAGCTTAATCTGGTGTGGTAGTATACTCCAATTTGCACGATTATACACTGGCCAAAAAAGAAAAATCGCCACCTGGATTTAACTAAAGTAAATAGGTAGGAGCCTCCTATTGGATAATTACTGAATGGGCGATTATCTTTCAGCTGGCAACAAATTATTTAACCCCAACTGGTGCAATGAGTTGCTTCTCGTTTCTTAAACAACCATGTTGAAAGACACATCACGTGGTCGTGAAAAAGATTGGGTTAAGAACTGTCCAGCGCATTATTAAAAACTGGAAACACAGTGGGGATCCATCATCTTTGAGGAAGAAATGTGAACGGAAAAAAAATCCTGAATGATCATGATCGGTGATCACTTGAGCGTTTGGTGAAATCAAATCGAAGAAAAACAACAGTAGCACTCAGGGCTTTGTTTAATAATGAAAGTAAGAGCATTTCCACAGGCACAATGCAAAAGGAACTCAAGGATTTGGGACTGAACAGCTGTGTAGCCTTAAGAAAATCACTAATCAGTGAGGCTAACTGGAAAAAAAGCTTCAATTTGCTAGTGAGCATAAAGATTGGACTCTGGAGCAATGGAAGAAGGTCATGTGGTCTGATGAGTCCAGATTTACCCTGTTCCAGAGTGATGGGCAAATCAGGGTAAGAAGAGAGGCAGGTGAAGTGATGCACCCATCATGCCTAGTGTTTAGTCATCAATGTAAGATCTTGGTGAAAAATTAATGCAACACTGGATGAAATAGATCTTGTGACATTACAGAAGCTTATCGAAACAATGCCACAGTGAAAGCATGTCATAATCAAAGCTAAAGGTGGTCCAACAAAATATTAGTGTGTGACCTGGTTTTTTGGTGGCAACGTTTTTTTCTTGGCCAGGAAGTGTATTATATTACATAAGATTGTGGATATTTGTTTACAAGGTTTGACCAACCAGGAATTATCTCTGTTCACCTGTGGGATCCATAAGACATCCTCTGCCCGTCATACTACAAAATTAGCAGTAACATGTTTTTGAAAACTTTCAGACTACTTCACTCTCATAGCTCCTCTCTGCTGACAGAGATGACAGACTGTTAGGTGTGCACAGAAGGGAAGGTTTTCTCACCAGCTTCCAACATCCTTTAAATAGGTCATGACCAAATGCTTTCCACCCTTACATCATTCGTGGTCCCTAAACAGTGTGTAATTGTGTAATTATACATTTACTACGATGGTACAAATGTCTACGTTAAACTAAACACGTAAATAGTTTGGAACTTGGACAAAAAGTAAACATCTGGACATATACTTCTTAATTAGCGTATCATGTCCAGAACCCTGCCATAGAACAGAACAGAATAAAAATCTTTAAGTGCCTCATGTGGTTCCCTTTTTTTTAATTCTGTCAGACTGGTCTTTGACTGTAAAAGGAGTCTGTTGTCAGAGACTATCAGTTGTGTTTTTTCTTTCCTTCATTCAACCTTTATTTATACAGGTTAGTATGAGGGCTCATTTACAAGAGAGACCTGTGTTACCTTCTTTTCCTTCCACCCTGCTCTCCGCTTGAGTCAGAGTCTCTCTTTTAAATAGTTGCACTGTACTTTTGGAGTTTCTAAAGTTGATTAGAAACGATAACTGCAAGTTCTTTTTTTACATGATTTACCCACCTAACATCAAATCACTTGAAGACTTCATTTTCTCCTGAAAACGTCCCATTCTAAACCTCTCAATAACCTTACTAAATGATGAACCCAGATCAGTGAGAATTACAACATGTATATTTAGCCTTCCTGTCTTTCAAGCACATCCTTCAAATGCCAGTTGGCATATTCTACTTTGCATAACAACTCTCCCCCGTGGCAAAAAATAGCCCTCCCTGTGTGCTCCCTTCCTGTAGGTTCACAGCTATCCTTGCACAAACATGGCACCCACAGCAGCTTGAGCTAATCAAACTGGCCTGTAAAGCTTGAGCTCGAATGAATTCTTCACATTCTGTAACACTGGAGTCAGCTGGAAGTAAGCACACCATATCAAGGCTGTGGAAGAGGCCAAACTCCCCAACTCCTACAATTAAAACAAAATAAATAAATCTGAACTGGAATCAGCTTAATTGACACATGTATATAAAAACGTACGTCTCAAACTGAAATCGTAATGCAGTGATAGGCAAAACCTTCCGACAGTAAACATCACACAAACAAGGCAAATGACCTTTAAAGTCATATCCATGTCCACACTCTAAATATTACAAATGTAGCAGTTCAGTGAGCAACTTCCACCTCTTGTTCATATTTTTTTAAATCTAAAAATTAAACTATTTGAGTTTATAACTGCAGATATTTTGCTTTTGGCTATTTAAACGTCTGCTACTTACAAGCGAGCATAAAAGTCACAAAACTCCTTATAGACTTTGACATCACTTTTGCGTCTCTGGGTCTTGGACACAGGGACCTCAGTCTCTCCTCTGTCTCCCATCTGAAGCCTTTGGTGGTAGCCGTTCATCTCTCCGTAACGAACGTGGTCCTGACTTTCGGCATCTTCGGGTATCGACGGCGGCAGGGCACGACTGTTCACCTCCATGCTCGTCTCAAACAGGGCAAATAAAAGTTCAGGCAGAGCAACTGAGTCTAAACTCCTCACGCTCCGGTGAAAATCCTCTGTGATGGTTCAGTATCCAGTAAAATGACCGCGGTGAGCAAGGAGAGTGAAACACCCACTGTGCAGGGAGTTCGCACCCTCCCTCTTTCTCTCACCCACCCCGTCCCTCATAGACACAACACTCCCTCTTTCTCTCATTCCCCACCATCAGCTCTGTCTCCTTTCCACACAGACTCTCAGCCTCCCCTCCTGTCACACTCTCTGTCTATTCTTGGGCAGGTTCCTGAAATTAAAGAGCCCACCCTGACGCCTGTTCAGACAGAGGTCACTGTGTCATTATGATCAAAACACACCCACCCATACAAACACAGGTCCTCGCTGTAATTTTCAACAGTTCTATATGATCTTTAACATCGTTCAGCATCTGGATCTCTCCAGGAGAAATAACATGACTGCTGCTCTGTAACTCATAAAGAGGGAATGTCACAAACAAAGCAGAGGCACAAACCAGGATTGTAACAGAACAAACTAAAAGCTTTGGTTTACTTCATCATGTGTTTGACATTACTGAATAAACACACTACAGGAGGAATTTTAGGAAACGAAGCAGCTGGACGTTTGTACAAACATACGAGTCTAAAATGGAGGCTGGATGCTGTAAAATCAGTGTCATCCTCCAGATTTTAGACAAAAACTCAAATATTAAAATACAACTAAAGAGATATAAACAATGGTGTGAGTTTTAATTCAATCCTCACATTTTTTTTTGTTTGTTCCCCCCCACCTCCACCTCCCCTCCCCCCCCCCCCCCCCGTTCTTTACGCTTCACATACAATCTTCTGTCTC